GCCTTGGTGGGTGAGAACTTTGACCGCGCGCCCAGTCGCGCGCCCGGGAGCTCGTATCATTCTATGCCCTTTTCGCGGACTTAGGTCTCCCGATGCTAATCTTGCCTCCAATGCGTGAACATAGCATTCCTCCTCAGTCTCCCTCTACGCGACGACACACACTTAATGTCGAGATTCCGACTTCGACCAAGCCCGTTGCTCCTGCGGCAAAGGTGACAGCCGTGAGTACAGATGCGATTGCTCCCTTGGTGCCTGGCTCCATCGCCCACTCGTTGTCCTAGGACCTGGTCTCCACCTCGACACCTCGTCAAGCACGGCCTTCTCCAAGCTGGGCCTTTTCCAAGCTGCACACCCCCATAGCTCTCCACGACAGCAACAACGCCGCCGCCCACCTGTTAATCGGCTCGAGCCAGATCTATTCCATTACCTGCGACATATGATGGGGGGGTGTTGAAATAAGTCGTTATCTATTATGTAGGATATAACTAGCGTTTATCTTTGGGAATCCCACTTATCTCTGGCCCAGCCAGATCTATACCTATATAGGCCATGCCTATAACAGAAAAGAGCTTTCAAATGATATTTTTGTTGTTTGGTTGGGTGGCCTAGTGGCTGAGTTGTGGTGGATAATTCCCTATAGATGAGGTGGTGGTTACGATGAGGGTATTTGGGTGTGTCGTTATGTGCGAGTGGTGTAAGTGACAGGGATATAGTGGTCTAGCTGGTCAATCTGCAGGGGTGTTCGTGGTGCACGTGTTTTCGTTGGTCAGGACCCCTGTCTTTGTCCAAAAAGGATAATAATACTGTGGAAGGTTCTAGTGCATTTAGAAAAGCGGGGCTGTAGTGCCACCGGATCTTATAACTGTGACGGTACGGAGCTTATACACTGCTAGGAATGCCAAATCTCGATTTGGAATTCTGGTCTTTTGGCCGAGTGGTCCAATTTGCTAGCAGTAATTGGAACCCGTCTCAATAAAGTTCTCTGGAAGGTGGAAATGTGCATAACAAATAAATGAGAATGGTTGGAATCCATACTGTGCATGAGGCCGGGAAAGGGTCATAAGCCCACTTATTTGATAAACATCACTCGTTTCCCCAGACAGAGTCGTCCCACTCACACAGGAATATTTGAGAAGGTCAATCAAACTTCGGATTCAAAATTCAGATTTGCTCAATCTCGGGGCATCTCTCTGGCCGTGCGCGTCAAGTTTGTGGTGATTTGCAGCAAGTCTGTTTTAGTGAATGGTTCGTGGGATGAGAAAGTGTTCCACGAGATGTACTATCTACGTAAATCAACTAGCGGACTAACGAACACTGATTTTAAAGCTTACCCAAGACTCATTGTTCTTGTGCTACCTAGCGTATCCAACTTCTGAGTCTTTCAAGACGATCATCAGCCTAAGCCTGATCATCCTCGAGGTCATCTTCAAAACACCAACCTGCACTCCCAGAGGGGTATTTAGGCACCTTGTAGTCAGGCTGAGGCGACGGTTCGTACTTTTCCTTTTCCACTGCCGACCGGCTGACTTCCCCGTAAGCCTCCTTCCAAGGGGTCTTCATCGCCTCTGGAACTTTCCAGCCCAGCTTGTCGTTGCGCAGCCACAGCCGCATTAGCCAGCGCCGCCTGATCTCGACAGCGTGGGAGTCGGTGTCTGTGTCGGCATGGACGTATATGTCGTCATGGACGTTCATGTCGTCATCGATGTATGTGCCGGCATCTTTGTACGCATCCCGCTTGTGAAGGATTCCCAAGTTGTTGACAAAGAGAATATCACCGGTTTGAGATGGGACAGAGAAAGAACAATCCCCAGCAAACCTGTTGAGTTCTGCAAGGGCTTTTTCCTGTGCATCTGTAATTCTGCAATCCTCTGGTACATCCCCCACCATTGCAGGGTGAAGGCGGAGACGACCTGGGTCAACAGAGACTGGGGATATCTTAGTGATGCTATTTGATATTCAGAGCCTCGGAAAGTACGGAGCTTACAGATGACACGATCTTGATCTTCATCGCGGATGAGCAGAGGCATGAACTCGAAGCGCCGATGCGTCCCACTGACTTGGACAGGCCAGTTAGAAGCCTCAAGCATCTTGAGTAGAGCTTGATCGACATCCGTAATGAGATGGTTGTAGATGGCCTTGGCCGAACTCAGTACGGTATTACCCCCGTGCGCAGCGCGTTGCCGGTGCAATAGAGCAAGTATTTCGCAGCCCATGTCGTTGTGGAACGGGAGCCCCGCGTTTGTATGGATCACGTGGCGCTTCTCCCCGGGCACCTGTTGATTAGAAAGTCAGCGTATTGCTTAGCATAAAATCGAGTGTGGTAATCGCTATAATTCATACATGCTGCCACTGCGGAGCGACGGTGATGTGCGAGATCACGCGACCACGTCTGTTTTGAACGCCTGCGACCACCCGTCAATCTCCGGTTCATCACACCAATACCCGGAACGCAATTTCACTGCACTTTATACTCACCACGCTGGGACCCAACATAGGCACTAATACCTAGAAAGATGATCAAGTTGTCTTCGTCTGAGTAATTGGCAACATCCAAGCCACGGAGCACGCAAAACCCGTTTCCCTCATAGAGGCTGTGGGCGATAGTCCTGAGACGCGGCCCAAGGTTGGGGAGGGGGAAGGTGGCAGCGCTGACCGTAGAAGCACTGGCCCCGGTGGCTTTAAAACTGATCAACGCAGCATGGAGCTCAGCGATATCAGCCTGGCCGAGCGGGATGACAAAGCTAGCCGGCCCGACTTGGCGATCCCAGAGCAATGGTTGCCCGGCCTTGGTGCGCATTTTCATGCCAATAGACAATAATTCCGAGAAAGTTGCAATGAGATATGTGGATACAAATTTGGATGGGATTCAATGCTGGCCCAATGTGTGTCTTCTGCTGGTTGCGAGATCGTGTGTCTATAAATGTTTGGGCATTGCACGTGTGGTAGTCTGGCTTCTTCCGGGCTGTGCTATCATTCTGTGCTCTGGTGGTTGTTGGTTCTTGGAGAAAAAGCAGTTAAAACTTTTCGCCCGATTGTTATGGCCCAAAACTCACACCGACAAGAGAACGGAAATTAATTGCTTCACCCCCATTGGTGAAGCATCTCCCCCTCTGGCAGGCTTCTTTTCGCGCATGCATCACGAGCCGTGTCTCTAAGCCACATTTCCAGCGAAGGTTGCCCAGGTGATGAGTTGGATGTGAGTTGTCCTTGAAGCCAAGTCCAAAGGAGGAGCGATCATACGAGAACGCAAGCTGCTTTTTTACGATTTGTGTGGGGGTTTGGCCAAGGGGATAGATTGTGCGTGAAGGACCTCTCATTACATACTATTAAATGGCGGGAATGGCCCTCAGCGCCCAAACACTCTACTACCTTGCTAGTCTTATGTAGTGCAGCAAGATCATAACCTCGTTTGAGGTTATCCATTTCACTTGGAAATCGTTCGGGATGCAGAGTAGCAGTGACATACTCGTTAGCCCATGTGGAATGAGAGGAGACCCAAGGTCTGGTGTTCGGAATGTGTGGCAAGGTAGGGAAAAGCTGGAGTGAGATCCGAATGCGAAGGGTTGGTAAGCAGGTGTGTCATTGTACGACCACTTGGACCTTACGAGGGCATTTGGCTGCATACTCGCAAGGAAGAGGTGCTGATCATCACCAAGTCCCACAGCTGCAAAAAGCAATTCCTAGCCATGTCTACCACAGCCCCACGAGCGCCTACCTAGCACCGTCACTACCATTCATATTGTATTACAACTCATTCCGTGCAAACCACAACCCAAATTCATTCTCACCCCTAAGAGGAATTCGGTACATTGTGGCCCTGCGCAGGCCCCGGGGAATAGACCGACTTGCCAAATACATTTATGCCCAGCGCCATGTCGAACCGCCACAGGGATCAGCGGAGCAGTCAGCAGCCGAAACTTGCGAGGGTCACGGCCCGAATCAAGGCCCCAGCAAGCTCCAGGTTGATATTGGGTCGTCTTGTGTTACCGTAGCGGGATTGGTTCTCCTGAGCCGCGCCGGGAAGGCCGTTTATCTCCGACCTCATCGAGATGGGCAAAAGCAGTTGCCGCACACGACCACTGGATGCAAGTCACTGGTGGCGACACAACTTCGCCTCTGCATGGGTAGGAGTGGTGCGGGGTCGGCCATCTATCTGTCCTGTCTGTCTGATTGCCTGGTTGCCGTGCAGAATCAGGCTGCAGTGTCGGGTGTTGGATTTCCTTTTGCTTTTTTCGTCTAACAGTCTGATAGCATTGTTACCCCTGCCTTGTCCTGTGGCGCCTTGCCCTTGCAAATTTCCGCCTCGAACCCCTCAGCGGATGCTTCTTCCGGGACCCGCGATCCTGCAGCCCGCCCCCCCCCCCATCTTGTGCGTGTGTCTCGTGCAGGTTCTGGTGCAACCGCTTGTCGATCGCAACTCGGCCATCAATGTCTCACTGCTGCACTGACGATCGATAGTCTTGTCTTTGCCCAGCCCGTTTATCACCGAGACACGCCCTTGACAACTGTCCCATGTCATTTTCTTGCCTGGGCTTACCATAGGCGGGTCCCAGGTCCGTGTCGGCGGTTTACGTGTGGTTTAACCCGCGCAACCAACGCCAGGGCCCTACCCACGATGCACCACCTTCCCAAGAGGCTGCGAGTATGCAAATTACATGCTAGGTAGAGCTCGACAGGGTGATCAAACCTATCTAATTAGATTTCCCACAAGTGCCGTCATCGTGCAGTTGTCATAGTGTAAGCCCCCCCCCCCTCGCCTCGGGTACATTAGCCGCTGCCCGTCGATTTTTGAGGGTATCTTGAGAGGTGCTGGCTCAAATAGCGGCCTCGAGAGTACCCACTCAGGAATCGCGCACCAGAATCTCCGCATGGTTGTTGCGCTGCAGACGGCCGCTACAGGACGTAGCAAAACAGTTTCAATGTCACCCTACAAAGAGGCAAAATGAACACCCAGGCCCCACCCCCCTCCCAACACCAGAAGGCGTGACATGGACATTCGACACCCCAGGGAGGAATCAAACCTCCGTTTCTCATCACTTTCGTGAGCATACTAAGCACTGTACTACTGGGATGTCTAAAGGCTTGTGGTTGTGATAATGTTAGCTCATGTTGGGCGGCGCAAGTGCAGCAGGCCACCTGCCCACTGAGCGCCAACTCCTCGAATATCGGGTTTAAGTGGTCATGACTTATCCCCTCCAACGCGCCTTAAAGAGTTGGCTACAATGCTATAATATGAGTCGACTACCCTCGGATCTACATTCAACTCCATTTTGGAGTGCTCACGGGTCCTGTGGCGGGCGTTATTCAAGCTGTTGGTTAGCTGGTCTGGAGGAGGTAGTCAGACACCCGAAGGTCTGGTGGGTAGGGTGACATCGCCAAGGCCAGGTGTGGAGGTGCGTAAATCACGGCCCGGATACGACAGGGGCCCACTCTCGACAACTCACAAGACCCTGTGACTCGGAAGCTGTCTGACTGGAGTGTCGATTCCATCCCCCTTCATTGACTTTTCCCTCTTCAACCTCGACCTGCACCATCACCACCTGCAAGCCACCGTTCCCAGACACCTTTCGCTAGCATCATCACCATCCTGGCTTGGTTTCTGATGGGAAACCACTGATGGGAAACCACTGATGGTAGACTATATAGAGTGTGCTTGTGTGCGGCTGCGGCAGGAGCTGGAGCAGACCGGTAGGGAGAGGACTCCATCTTCTAATTGCCTGGATCATCTGCAGCCGCTGCTGTCGGCGTGTGTCCCTTTTGGGCCGCCTGGCTCGTGGTCGCTGTGGTCGCTGTGGTCGTGAACGTCGGCGTCGTTGTCCTCGTAGTGGTTCAGATGAGGTCGGGCTAGCTACTGTACCTCCAAGTACCGAGGTGTAAGTACCCAGGTACTCCGTGCATTCACCCAGCCAAAACCCGCGTTGAGAAGGGCGGGATCCTTTGCCATGCATTTGAGCAGTCTCACGTACATTTGAAATTCAGGCGTAAAGATCTCCACGAATCCTCATTCAGTTCAAAAACGGGAATTAAGCAGTTTTGAGAATCCTTACGTTCCAAAGAGCTAATATAGAGTCTAATGTTCTGCCCCTTGTGTGGGTGTCGTCCTGACCTCGGGCCTCGTCGTTGTCGAGGAGCTAGTCAGTTTTGTTCTCCATTTCTGCTGAGAGATTGATAATTATGGCCCAGACCAGGAATGCAATGTAGCGTACATGTGTAACTGCGCTCGGCCAGTTGTGCAACATCTTTGGCCGCTGGTGGCAGTGGTGGCAGTGGTGGCACGCTGATCGCCGGGTGCCGCGTCCAGGGCGCCGACTCGGATGGAAATGTGCTGCCCGTTGAGATTGCACCTTGGATTCCATGCAGCTGGACATGGGTGACTTCGACGAACGACATCCCACCACCATCCAAGCAACCCTGCGCTGACCTTACCCCGTACTGCGTATTGTGATCGACTGTCATCCTGCAGCCCTGCACCTGAACCACAACAACAACAACAACAACATAGGCAACGCTCCCCTTCATGATGGGCGATAATCATGCTCTACACCCTGACCTTCGCCGGCAAATATCCAGGGGCGTCATGGCACACGCTGGTCCCCGTGCTCGTGGGTGTTTTCGTCGTCCTCGTCTTCGCTGCCCGGGAGCTAATCAAGTCCCCGCCCGGCCCGCCGCCCAGCAGCTCGGGTTGGGTGGGAGGGGGGGGGGGCGTTGCTGTTGCATCCGGCCAGAGCCTCCTCCTCGACCCTGTGGGCGAGAGCAAGCTCAAGATGCACAGCCACTGTGCCACGTCGTGTATCTGGGCTGCGGCCGCGGGCGGGTATGCGCGGGGCGACGGTGTCGCTGCTATCATCTTGAAGCCGTTGGCCACGGCTCTAGCTGATGGGTATGATATCACCGTAAAAGCAATCCTTGTCGATTCTGCGTCTTTTTTCTTCCTCACTTGTCCACGTAATGTATCTGATAGTAATATCTTCTTGGCAGGCCGAGTGCAGAGCCTCAGGCGAGCATGATCTTGGTCTGCTACCGCCGCGCAGGCCTGGATATAACAAAAGCCACCGACCCGCTCCGAACAGTTCGAGGACCACGGAACTGGAACGCCTGCACCGGTCGAGTCCGAAGCTACCGAATCCACTTTTGGGATCAACAACAGAGTGACAGCCCAGTCTCGCTTCGAGCAGACAACGATCGCCATAGCACAAGCCCTTTAGACGTTGGTGTACCGTACGTGTGCATGCGTCACTCCCACTCCTGAGGAGAATTTGAATATTTGCTGATGCTTCTTGCCGGGATCACAGGGCGTGGGGCCGTAATAGGCCACAATAGCAATCCGACACAAGCCCATCCTGTCAAACTCGCTGTTCGAGCGCCTAAGCCCTCAAGTACGACCTTCTTATAGTCTGATATAGAAACATCTGCATTCTCACATCGCCCATCCCTTGGCCCCACGGCTATACACGCAGAGCAAGCATCGACAGGTTAAGTCCGACCGGCTGATGGATCCCACCTCGCTCAGATATTCCTATCTCCATGGGACGTTAGGAATTCGGAAGGGCTAAAAGAGAAGCACACGCCATCGGCGTTGGTGGCGCCACTGCCCATGCTATTCGCCAGGGTCATTAATTCCTGCCAGGAGTACCAACCGCTCTCGGCGTGCCCAGGAGCCCACCTTCTTCCCGTTTATTTCTCCGCAGCCCTCACGGGCTCCTTACTCCACTAACTGGCGTCCTTTGCCAGCTACACCCACATCGGGGGACTTAGAGCCCGCACGTGAGACCTGGCCCACACGCCGAACGCACGATGCACACACACAGTTCCCCTTCGCAGCTGCCTTCTCGGCGTCGACGACGCATCAGCTAGCAGCAGACTCGCCTCCGCATGACCTGGAGCAGGAGAAGCAGACAATCGCGTAATACGAGCAGTGTCAACCCGCAACGGTGGTCCGGAGCCGCTCCGTTTTCTCGCCGTGCTCACGGGCCAAGGCGCCCTGTGGGACCGCATAGGCGCCGAGCTGGTCTCGGCGTCCGCCGCGGCGCGCGACGGCCTCCCTGGTCAGGTCGCCACGGCGGCCTTCTCGCAGCTGCTGTACACGGCCGTCCAGGTCGTTTTGTTGGACATTCTGAGGGCGGCGGGCGTGGGGCTGACCGCCGCGCTCGGGCACCGGCGAGTTAGCAACAGCACATGATTATGGCTTGGGCTGAGCATGGCATCTATATCGCACACTACCGTGGGCTGTGCATGGCGTCTGCGAGGGGGCTTGAGGGGCGGCCTGGCGCGATGATGGCAGTGGAGGCAACCCCTGATAATGCTTTGAACCTGCTGCAAGAGTCGGAGTCCTGCGGCCGCGCACGCATGGTGGCCATCAATATTGCGTCTGGTGTTACCGGTACCGTGTTCGGCGACGATGGAGAATTTGCTTGGCCGCTTGAGGAGGGTGGTTAGGGCATATCATTGTCATCATATGAATATGTACCTGACCGAGTACCTCTCTTCTCCGGTGCAGCTGGATATCCAGTCCCCGGAGCCTCGTCTCCTCGGTGCACATGCTTCTCCGCAGTTTTGGTATGAGGATCGTGTGTATGGTCTGGCTCTGTCCTTGAGAGATCCATACTGGATGGTACCAAAGGTGGTTTTAGCGGGCGTATCCTCGCGGTCCAAGAGGAGGTGTGCCCGGAACTCCATCTGGCTCGTCGGTCTCACTGGCGTATGGAAGCCCAAGACAAACCGTCATCCAGATATTGGTGAGGCTTAGCTGGAGAGGATAGGTTCTTTGGCACTACATAATCATATACAAGGTTCACTTGTCTGTTATGGTTCTTCCCATTTTTCTACAGGAAAATTCTGTAAGATTGTTATGCCAACACAGCGACGTCACAAAGAGAGACGCATTGAAGGGAATGGTTGTCATGAACGGGTACACCGGCGGCACCCATCCCACGCTTTAAATTCTATAAGGTTGATATTACACATCACACACCGTTCACACCGTATTCTAGAGTACGCAGGCAGTATAACTGTCTTCTCTAAGCAGAAAGACTTGATTTGACGACGTCATGTTATCCATGGTGAACCAAGCTTGTTTCCTCCTACCCCTCGTGCCTGCCCTTTAGATATGTTTTGGTCCCTACTTACTTGTTGACACAATCTCCTATTATTCAGTATTAAGCTTTGGTTGTGGCCCGTGCTCCTGTTGAACTCTTATCGAAGGCTATCGAAGGTCTTTGGTGTCCATGGAAAAGCAGCAAAAGAAAATGTCCCTGTTGTGTCTTTCAGAAGCCCTGGTCGTCCTCTTTCTTGGTCCGCTCGCCATGTGTTGAGAAGCTGCCGCAGAGCCTTCCAAGCACTCAATCATCATGTCTTCAGACTCTTTGTTGTCTTTTGGCGATGCTGTCGCTGATGAGACCGCTAGCCAGCCGCTCCTTGGCTGCTGCGACAGCGACAGTGACAGCGCCAGCGACCGCGACAGCACCGGCAATACCCATGGCAGTGGCAAGGGAGTCAATGCCACCAAACTCACTGTTGTCAACGGTGTTGGTGTAGGTGAGGTGGGAGTTACGCGAGTGAATGCAGGTTTGTTTGCCTCTGGCCCTGGCCCTGGCCAGTCTCGTCTCTTGAACTCGTCTCTTGAGTCTGTGCCCACAGCTGATGAGTCGTCTTTCTGAATCCCACAGGCACCACCAGCACCACCAGCAACAACAGCAACACCAGCAACAACAGCAACAACAGCAACAACCCATTCGGCCTCCTCGACCACGACATCCACCTGGGCAACAACGACAGAGGCACACTTCCACCTCCCCCATATAAAGAGATAGTGGACACTTCCAGCACTGGTGCCATGGCCAGCAACAACTCCTCGGAGGCAGACAGCCAACGGGCCAACACTGCTGCTGCTCGCAACAGCAATAGCAACGTCGTACTGGAGCTCACTGAATTCGCCGCCAGGCTTATCACATACCCCTGCATCCCCCTCATTATGCTCGACATCTTGATCATCCTCACCCTCCACATGACCTCCTTGCAGACCATGGGCAAGGCCAATAAGGCCCCTGTTTACATTGCTGCCTTGATGGTGCTC